CGGGGCGGGGCGCGCACCTGGCACCTGGCGCCCATCAATCCAGCGGCGCCCGCCCCGCCCGCGGCCTCAGTTTCCCCCCCACCTCCTGGGGGACCGAAGCGCGTCATGGTCCACCAGCCCTTTGTCCCCCGAGAAACCCCCGGACAGGCTTCCGGAGCGAGAAGAGGGGCTTTTACATTCACGATGGCCGTGCGGAGGCTTCCAACCGGCAGGTGTGTTTTCAGCGAGAGTGGCTGGAGATTTTATGTGCATATAAATTGCATATATAAAGTGTGTATGTAGATATATAGATATAAATAGATAGATAAATATACACACACACACATATATACACATGTATATACGGGTATAGAATGTGTGTATATGCATGTACATACTGGTATAGAATGTGTGTATATGCATGTACATACTGGTATAGAATGTGTGTATATACATGTACATACTGGTATAGAATGTGTGTATATGCATGTACATACTGGTATAGAATGTGTGTATATGCATGTACATACTGGTATAGAATGTGTGTATATGCATGTACATACTGGTATAGAATGTGTGTATATGCATGTACATACTGGTATAGAATGTGTGTATATGCATGTACATACTGGTATAGAATGTGTGTATATGCATGTACATACTGGTATAGAATGTGTGTATATGCATGTACATACTGGTATAGAATGTGTGTATATGCATGTACATACTGGTATAGAATGTGTGTATATGCATGTACATACTGGTATAGAATGTGTGTATATGCATGTACATACTGGTATAGAATGTGTGTATATGCATGTACATACTGGTATAGAATGTGTGTATATGCATGTACATACTGGTATAGAATGTGTGTATATGCATGTACATACTGGTATAGAATGTGTGTATATGCATGTACATACTGGTATAGAATGTGTGTATATGCATGTACATACTGGTATAGAATGTGTGTATATGCATGTACATACTGGTATAGAATGTGTGTATATGCATGTACAT